GGGGGGGGCTCGACTAGCGCGACGCATAGAGTTAGTTTAGTGGCGTTGGTCATGGGCGGGCGTGCTTATACGATGTCGTTATTGATGGACCCGCCGACAGCGACGCCAGTCCCGGCCAGGGCCGTGAGTGGTGTTTCTGCCCAATCACCATCGCGGCGCCTCGCGGGCCCGTGCGGGACCATGACCACGGAGTGCACGATGCACCACCGGCGGCATCGCGCCGGCTCCGCCCTCTCCGTGTAGCTGTGTGGGGTCGTCGGACATCACCGACATCACGGCACACTCGAGCGGTGGGTGGTGTATGGAACTCAGCGGGACAAAAAGACAAGTTCTCATGAACTTTGTACGGTTTGTTTGGCAGAGGCACACACTCACACCGGGTGAAGGTGAAGAAAAATTACGCTGCTGGTATAGTGTATTTCGACTAACAGGGGAAGAAGAATACCGGGTAGAATATAAATGTTCCTGATTGGCCGAGCGCCTACCCCCACTAACGGCGTGACGTAGAGGCGGGAAGCTCTCGACCAATCGGTAACGTTTATGTTCTACCCACTATTCTTCTTCTTATGTTAGTCGAAATACACTATAGCAAACGCAGCAAAACCCAATGGGAACGTGGATTCGACGTCGATTCGGCGTCGAATCGCCGCACCGCCGACCGCCGCCGTCCAACAACAACACGGAGACCGGGCCGTTGGCTACCCTGCGTTTAGAGCACAGGAGGTGCCAGTGCCAGTGCCAGTCGTGCCAGTTCGCCGAGAACAAACAAACCCTCGTTAAGGTTGCGGCGCGCTTCATCTTCAGACTTTGTTGCCTGCATCTTCAAGGTTCCTTTAAACCCGGGTCGTCTTTGCCTACCTCAGACCCGTTGCGGCGAGTCAGGGTGAGTCGTCTAGGACGGATGAGTGTGTTGTCTGTTAATTGTTGAGGTTATGTCGTCCATGGAGGGGCGGATCTTTCGTTTTCCTCGTTTTCCCTCACTTCCACTTAGTGTATTAATTTTGAATAGGCAAATGGTCTAACCACTGCATGAACATTGTGTTCGAACCCCGTCAAAGGCCGCCCAAGTGAAATCGTGAAATTGCTCCCCGATCACCCTCGCTCGGTGGAGTGACTCATAGGATGAGAACCTTGTCAGACAGAAAAGGTGCTATTGTTTTGCGGGCTTTTCTCGTTCCTCTGTCTCTCTCTTTACCGACCGAGGGAGAAATCGAAATCGTTGCGGCATTAGTTAACTAATGTTGGAATCATTGGAACGATATCCTTTATCAGAAGAAATGAAAAAGTGAAACGGAAGAACAAACTTTGCAAAGGCAGGCGCCCCTCACTACATTGTGTTCGGATAACGCCGTTTCTCGCTGGGGTGCAGGCAGTTCGTGTCGCTCACCGACCACCGACCCGTCGGCACGTATTTCCTTACATCTTCGCGCCCTGCCCCGAGAGTGTTCGGCCCTTATCGGATCGGTCGCGATCGTGATCGTGAAACCGTCTCCCTGTTGCGCCCCGGCGCCGCCCCGTGCAAGCACTGCAAAACGGCTATATTGGGGTTTTCTTATCAAAACCAGGGAATCCGCCGTTTTTAATGATTACATATTATTTTATGTTGGATGAGGGTAGCGATTTTAATTTTTCAAAAGAAGTATTGTCAGGAAATTCTCCAATTTTTTTATTTTTTTTAATTTCCTGAAAAGTTTGAAGTGTTTTGCAAATTTTCTGGAAATATTTCGATTTTTTCCAAAAACATTCTGATAAAGTGTTTCCAAACTTTACGGAAAATTTTCGAGCTTCAAAATCCGTAGTGGAGGGAGGAGGGAGGTGCAGACAGAGAAGTGAAATGGGCGAAGCAGGCGGCGGCACCGTGTCGTATCCGCCGAGTTTGTGATCACCTCACCGCTCTGCTCCTCGCACATTCAAAACTGTTTCTGACTCTTGTGGAACCACCTCGCTCCAGCCCAATTACGGCTACAAAAAAGAGAGGGGAGGTGGGGGCGGCGCGGCGTGGTCGGGCTGTGTGTCGCCCCGCCCGTCAGAAAAGAGAGCGTTTTGGCATCGGATCGAAATGCCAATTAGAGAGGTGAGCCCGTGTGCAGCCTGGGCTGGCGGTGAGAACCGCGTCGGCAGGCCGGGGCAGAAGGGGATGCGAGGGGCAGCAGACTGCCCCGGAACGCCCCGCCCT